TTCATCTTCTGGATGCTCGTGAGAGGTCGTTGGAAAGCGCAAAAGATAAACGATAATGTTATTTTGATATCACTGCTAAACGCTTTTATTTGTTTATCATTCATCTCGGGTCGACTTTCCTCTTAGTCTTCATCCTCTTCACCGTTGTTAATTTGCTCTTTCTCTCTCACTCTGCGTATTCATCTCGAGTTGAGCGAGAGGAGAGAAGCTCGTGCGTCGCTTCGAATTCTATTTATGTATACGAGCTGGTCACGGCTAATATTAATCAATGCCAAAATTACCCCACCAACCAAAATCCACCCCAAATACAACCGAAAATTTATACAAGAAATATTTACAGTATCGGTGCACCAAGTGAATCAAATCTAGTCTGTTTAATAAGATTGATTTCCACTACGTATATTTCATTTAAAACAAATAGCTTGCATTTAGGAATGTGACAAATGTTCAACCCCAAATTCGCAAGTAATATGAATACTCCACAAATGTTGCGTATACATCAAATTCAGTCTGCGGCTATTTCAGTTACGTTACCACCGACTGTTTTCTAAATGCGACCATAGCGCGCAAATTACACTTATCACATCGACCTTGCTATATTAATCATACTTCTACAGAAAAACCATTGTGCATTCGCACAAAAGAACTAAAGATTAACCGAAACCAATTATGATATAATATAATTACCATGCGACATTGATTGCAAACTCTGGCGAGAAGATGACGAAGGTATCCAAAATTGAAACACTACACGGACAGAGAAGAGAAAGAAATTGCGAATCCACGAGGAATTCGGACGTTTTTTCTTTTTCTTTTCTTGTATAACAACCGACGACGATCGCGCAAGGACTGCTGGATGCAGGCTAGTGTTGCTGAAAGTAGTCGGATTTGCGGATCCGGTAGGCGTCATCTCTCTCGCTCGCCTCTCTCCAAATTTATCATCGAAAACCTCGTGTACATTTTTTCCTGACCCTGAGAGAGAGAGAAACGAACGACGTGTGGAAAACGGCGAGAAATAGAATTCGGAAATTGGCAAGAAAACTCTTTGTCCTAGGAAAATCTATAACTAAATTATCAAATTGGTGTAAACATAAACAATGCCTTGACCCTGAACACTGCTAAGTGGACAATCAACTAAAATTACCTCAATCTCAAAGTCAAGGTTTTTTAACCTTTGAGAAAACAGATTTGATTATGTCAATTACATCAAAGAATATAAGATACTCTCTGAAGCTCTTAACAGTGATAATGGTACTTCCCAGCATCTCTCCATCGAATAAACACACGTCCGTACGACTTCGGATCGGACGTAACAATATCGTTACAAAGAAACGGATAATCTGAATGCGACAATGCAACAATCATTACGGGAGAAATAGCGAATTTACGTGCGCTCTCCCCCAGCGATTTGATGTTAGTACCGTTGCGACGACTCCAAAGGCACAATGAAGAAGTCCGAGCTGCCTCGACTTTAGCGTTACAACCATTAAATTCGTAAGTTAATGATTGCACCTGCATTTAACGTGCTCACAACGCGCGTTATTCAGTAGGTACGTAATCACCTGCATTAAACTAGGGACGAGAAATTGGTTTTAATTATTATAATGAAGACACTTCATGGTCTTATATTCTATTCTTGAGCAAAGCAAAACAAACAACAAAAGGTACGAAATCGTTAAGCGAAATGCGAATTAACATTACGTAAAACTGTAATTACATAAAAAGTTAAACAGTTTTCAAATTAATGAGTATTTGCAATATTAGAATTAAAGCATTACGAGCAGATTTAATATTCTTGATGAAATAATTCAAAAAGAAACACCTGTTTACGCGTGCATTACGTAAGCAATTGAATCATGTTTGATTTATGATGTATTTGAGATTACGTGAATAACGTTTGCTTAATATATTCCAATTTTTTTCCTTCTTCACCTTTATTTATATTTACTTGAATTAAACCTGTCCACGTAAGTAAACTTGCACATCAAATAGCAATTCGATGATAAAAACTCAAGTTTCAGAGTTCAATTTTGTGTTCTTGTTGAATTAGAATATGAATTGTGGATGATATAAAAGTGTATGTCAGACGTGGAATGTGTACAGTCACTGATAAATTTAGCTCATAAAAGGTAAAAATAAATTAGAAACGAGGAATGAAGTAAAGCGATTATAAATATACATTCTAAGCGTGGAACAACTGGTAATGCAACAACCTACACCAAACGGCGAAGACACTGAAGAAATAACAACGTTCATTAATATGCAGTTTTCCAGGTTCAACGATCAAAACAGTTCTTTTATTAAGAATAATTGCAAATTATCTTAAATGGGTCATATACGTTTTCCAATCAATTTCAAATTTATTCCGCAATTAATTAACTCGGCCAGATCGAATGGAAAAGATGAATTAGTAGTATGATGCATTTGGTAATAATAAAAACTGCAATCATCAATCATCGGTGGATATGCGAGGAGGAAAAAGGGAGCGTGAGGCCAGTATCGCATTTCAAGTTTGCTCGAGATAAAATTACATAAATAATATCGAGAAAGAGACAACAAGAGCGAAATAAAATAAAATGAAAATGAAATAATAATGAGAAAAGAAAAAAAAACAAGTACGCCCGTCGTATAAAGTTACAGTTACAGTAAGAACACAAGAGCGAGTGAAAGAGAAGAGAGAGAAAAAAATGAACATGTAATATGTATGTAAACGATACGCGAACAGGACATTTAGATAAGCAAAACATTATGTAATTGCCGCATTCGTATTACGAACTAATTGCGAAAATATTCATTCGCTATTAGAGAATTAAAAAAAAAATGTATATTCGCATGCAAATTAAGAGTATTCAAACGAGAAGATTATATTACATTTTCTTATGATCAAGTTCAATCGAATCAATATTCAAACCAATTCATGTGTGTACAACAATTATTTAAATTCAGGAAAAAGTAATGGATTATAGAGAATTTATAAAAAATATTTTAGAAAATCATTGAACGAAAATGAAGAAAACAATTTCTAGATGTAAAAGCTTTGTAAGATTTATAATGGAAGATGTTCTTTTATAATATTAACAGTAGTTAATCATTTTCTTATGATCAAGTTCAATCGAATCAATATTCAAACCAATTCATGTGTGTACAACAATTATTTAAATTCAGGAAAAAGTAATGGATTATAGAGAATTTATAAAAAATATTTTAGAAAATCATTGAACGAAAATGAAGAAAACAATTTCTAGATGTAAAAGCTTTGTGAGAAGATGTTCTTTTATAATATTAACAGTAGTTAATCAATATTGACAACAGATGCATTTCACAATCGATCAATTTGTAATGATAGTATCTGCATACGAAAAATATGTATCGCACGATTGGCTAATTAGTTAGAAAGCAGGTTGCATTTCCTACGTTCATTTCTAAACAAAACAAAACGAAACTGGAAGATGTTCATCCAGGACAAAACAGAAGCGAAAGATTATCAATTACACGGTTAGAGAGGAGTCGGAAAAATTGGGTCAGTAGTTTAGAGAATTAACCGAGACACAAAGATGATTTTCAAAGCATAAACAAAAAACGACGTAAAACGAAACAGAAAAGTGCATTAATTGAATTAAGAGAGAAATCGCGACAACATTATAATTGCAAATCGATTCATCTCTTGCATATTAATTAGTTAATTTAATCTGCGTATATATTATGGGTGAAGTTGGATATTTATAAATATATTTATAAACATGCATGAGATATGAACGAAACTCGTTTCAGAAACAACTTTTTCTTATGGTAAAATGTTCAAATAGAAATAAGTTTACAGCGAAATTTACTATTATGACTGTAATAAATCAAGAATGCAATTAAAATTAAAGAAACGAAAAAAAATAAATAAAGTATTAACTGGAAGATTTTCTTGTTTGAGGATGACTTAAAATGAAGATGTATGATTGAAATTTGTATTGTTGGAACTGCATATAGAGAAATCGTTGATAGTTTGTAAGAAACGGTACGGATAGAAGCAGCAGCAAGAAAGTTGGCAAAAGGTAAGAGTAAGAATGAAAGTGTTGGGCGTTCGAAGTATGTTAATAACGTGGGCGTCTCCATGACTAAATGGGGAAAATAAGGAAAGAATTAAAAGAGTAGGCAGAGTTATTAAGGAAATAATGAAGGATAAAATCGTAGCCAGCGTCGAGTTTAATTAGTATTTATTGTCTTCTGTTCTTCGGAAAGTTCGAATTCGAAGGGAAATCAAGTGGATTTTAGTGCACAAAAAAAATATAAACGAATCGAGTCGATGTGCAAAAATAAAGCATTGTTGAACAAACAATGCGCGTTTTCAATTAGTCATAAGCCTAATGAAATATTCCAAACAGTAAAGTCCATGATCGATTGTTGCTGCTGCAATTTGCAAAGGCACTTTTCTTTAAACCATCTCTGTTACATTCTGTTTTTTATAAAATATTCAATCCAATTTGAACAAAAACCAAAAATTTAATGAACACTCAAACCTCTTCTGCTAAACAATCAATAGTTTCAGTTTTCGAACACATTTTCCAGAT